ACCGAAACGGTTCGGTACGAATACGTGTACCGTTACACCCCTACTGTTATGACAATGATACTTTTACATTTCCACACAACCTGAAAACAACCTGCACAACTCTACAAGTTAGCAGAGTGTGATATATAACATGGGAGGGCTAGTAATTTTCTTGACTCCACAAATAATGTAATGTACTGTGAGGATTGCAGAAAATATGCCTTGGAAAAGCACAAATCCAATAATTTTGTTATTGGAACTGACAACTTTACGGTGGAGGCTGTTAAAGACCACACAAATTCTAAGAGTCACCTCCAGAGCTTAACAACAAAACAAGCAAAAGGCAACAGTTTTGGAATACAGCATTGCTGTCAAGAGCTTGGTATTTGTGACGTCAACACTATCTGACTGTCTGAAACTTCTCTTCAGAAACATTCTTACTGTGGTGAAAAAAGAGAGACCCTTTTTTTGGATTATCAATGGATATGCAGGCAAGTAATACTGTTGCTGTTTTATTGTGCTTCTTTACAGAATACTAGCTATATAGATACACTCTTTTTGATCAATTGTCAGCCAAGTAAGATTAGCTAATGTAAGAATTTGTTCCCACAACTTATTAATTTGTTCCCTAATTTAAGTCATGGTCACACACTAATTTGTTCCTTAGTTTTAACTAAACAAGGGGAAAAATTACGAAACATGGACTGTGGCCACAAACTAAGCTTGTGGAGCAATGTTTCCTTACTAAGTAAGGAGCCATGTTTTGCACATAAGCTGCACACACCCCAAAACTACTCACTCTAATAATGACCTTGACCATCAATAAGTTTTATCGGTTACATTATTTGCAACAATTAATTGATCACTAATTAATCGTTAATGTCACTATATATATATATCTCTTTTTTTCTTCTGTGGAACACAATCTGATTTTTAAAAAAATAATTATTCATATCTGTCCATATAATGCAAAACTGATGGTTCCCTCCAATCTGATGTTTCAAAAAAACAATGAAACTGAAAACAGCTGTGCATTCCATACAACCACATCTGATTAATCAGTGTCTTCTGAAGTGAAATTTAAGCTATTTCAATAGCAGTGTAGCCTAAATGCAGTCACTTCAGGTTGAGCTTCTGTGCCACCTTTGCAGTGTAAATATTTTTTGTTGATTCTGATTTCATTTTATTGGTAAAAGCCTATTTTGTGTCATTACTGAATTGATGAATTTGAAAAGATGTATATATTTATTTTTGAAAACTGCCCTTTTAAAATGCCTCTGGAAATCAATTTAAGGGGGCCAACCTGTTTTTAAGGAGTATCACTGTAATAATGGTGACTACACATATAATCTTTATTATTATTGTACATTTTTGTTACACATCTTTGGTTAGGTGTTGATTAAGAGGTTCAGCCTTACTGATGTGATATATGAGAATGAATGAAAACCAACCTGTTTGTTCCTCAGCATCTTCTTGTTTGACTCTCAATGTTTCTTCAATCTTCACGTCTTCACTCTCCTCTTTAATAAACGCCATCTTTATAATAGTGTGTCACGTGGATCTCAGCTGCTCCACCAGAAGTTTGTGTTTGGACACTCTGTTATGTTTAAGATGAGAGATAATTAACAGAAAGAAAGAAAAATCCAAACTAAATCTCTGGGTGCCTCTCAATCAGCTCCCAGTAGTCAGCACACTAATAAGGGAGTCAGTCAGAGTTAAAGTTAATGGCCTGATTAGCCAAAAAACACTCTAAACTAGCACTAGATTTGTAGATTATAATTAAATCGATTGCATTTTCGTGAAAACAGTTTATAAAAGTTGTCATGACACCACTGATCTATAATAGAGAACTGGATTGCTCATGACATCATAAAAGTGAAGCCATTATGCATTACTCAAGTTTGTGTTCGTTGTTCTCGTTGCATTTACACTGCATTGACCAAGCATGTCTCCTCAGAGTTCGGCGATTCGAAACAGTGAATCATTTCATTAAACTGATTCAATTGACTCGTGGTTTCGAAAAGCTCCGTTTCTCCATCACTACATAAGAAGTGATCGAATTCGTGTTTACACTACTGATTCACGATACGGGGTACGAAATGAGACGCACCTTTTCTGTTGCTAATGTGTTTACTTTACAAAATTGCCTGAACGGGTTTCACTGATTTAAACATTTTAAATGTGTAAAAACCCAAACCTTTCTTCAGCCGACTCACAACAGATGCAGGAGCGCGGCGCAGACGAATGACGTCATAACGCCAGAACAAAATAAATGTCCCGTTCACGTGCTGCTGCCTAAAATCACAAGAGGGCAAATATTGCACATATTTACTTCTACTGAAAGAGTTTGAGTTAAAAGGCAAAACGGTAATGTTTGGGTTCAGAAACCATTTATAATAGATATAAATTAGAATAAAATGCAAAAAGTAACAATGTGATTTACAATGCTATAAAAAAAAGAGTGTTTGACTTAATCAAGCAGAGAACATACTTGTGTCAGTATTAAAAGTTTTTCTAATACTAAGTGGACATATAAAGTTTGAGATTCCAAGTCCAAGATTGTAGTAAATGTCATAAATATTGATCCTTCAAGAATCAGTAGAAGTATAAAAGGAATATAAATTTGGCATAATTGTTTGATCAATACAAAAAAACAACAACTGTTCATTTAATTATTTATTGAAAGGTTCAGTCTAATAACAAATGGAATATTTGACAGATTCTTAAAGAAATCAATAGTATGTCAAGTCTTCAATGTCAAAGGCCATTTGTACGAGTTGCTGCCTATGTAGTGATTCAAATCGCTCACTAATGAGTGAACAGACACATTTTACACCTGCTGAACTTCACAGAAAAACCTCTGCCGTTTTCCTAATAAAAATCACATTTTCATTCATGTTAATTATTTTACAGGACAATCTGCAGCTGAAGACACACACGAAGATGATGTGATGGGTGAAGGTGAGGAGAGAGGAAAAGAAGAACAGGTGAGATGATGAAGAAGACGACAGTTGTACAGTAGGTTGCATGTTCAGATCCGCCAGTTAAATTAATTTTCTGTTTCTAAAATAACATTTTTGTTTGTTTGCTTATAGAAAAATCACTTTTTTAGTTTTTAAATATAGATATCAATATATTGATATATTGTATTGAATATGCATTGTATTGTTGTGTTTTCCTGAAAGTATTGTTAAGATGTCATTCATTCAAGTGGCAAACACATCAGATGAATTGTAAAAAAATATTGTTATTGTTAACTGTGTTTGGGTTCATTTAGGCTGAGATCATCAGTTGTAAGTAACACTGTTTTCTAGGGATGCTCCGATCAGGATTTTTGCAGCCGATACTGAGTACCGATTTCTTGTCATGGTGATCGGCAGATACCGATGCCGATTCTGATGCTTCAAGCTTTATATAGACGGTTTCATCAGGCGCACGCACGCGCCTGGCCCGAAGTTAACGTCTGGGTCTGTTTGTTTATCAGTCTGGCTATGGCGCCGGCTACAAACACAGTGGCATTTATGATCACTGCTGGATCAAGCCGCTGCATTGTTTTTTTCCAGGCCAAAGAAGATATTTTGAAAGCAGTTTGAAATTACATTTAAAAGCAGCACACGATCAGCGATACGGCTCAGACGAGGTTTTGTTCCGTCCTCTATGCTTGTGCCAACTCACAAAAGAGAGAAACATGCCGCGGCTGGTTGATAAACACAAGCACTGACTAGAGCGGCCGCGATCAGCTCCGGTTCCCGTGGAGACGTAACGCGCCGCAGACTTGTGCAGTGAGGCGCAGATCAGCTCTAACGTCACTGAATCTGCTGTTAAAAATGAACCATCCATTCCTCATCATGCAAACTGCTGTTAAAAATGAACCATCCATTCATCATCATGCAAAACATACACGACAAATAGCAAATTTTTCATTGTTTCTCGAACCGTCATAGCATTTCCACACCGGCGATGACATGACTGTGGCGTCAAATCATTTATGTCCCCACGCATCATGTACGTGGTCAGGCGTTGACGTCATCAAATTGCGATCGGTTCGTGAGATCGGCCAAATAGTGAGTACCGATCGAGTTGTGAAATGTGATTATCGGCCGATACTGATCTCTGGCCGATCGATCGGAGCATCCCTACTGTTTTCCATACGTTCATATTTTATGCTTTATCCTGTTAACTTTCATGACACTTTTTGATCGTAGACGTAAAATACAAACTTAAATAGTTGTAATTCATGAATGCTTTGGAATACAGAATACACAAATCTAAGCCATACATTGTTTTAGGATGAAGTTTCTGTGAGACGTATAGCTTCTGCATCATAAGATACCAGCAAGTGACACTCACAATCCACAAGACACTTCCCTAACCATAGGATCTGACAGTTACATAACTGCAACGTAATTTGATGACCAAACTTTTGTTGTGGCAACATCAACCGGATAGGCCTAAATGGGTTGCCACATCAGGATTCTTACTCCTACAGAGCCCAAACAAAAATGTTACATAAAAAGTAAACGTTTCCCTTCAGTTTTGCTGCAGGGCACCTTAGATGCACTTACAGACGTGTACATTGGCAATCCGGGATCTTTACATAACACCCCTGTCCTGTGCAGCTCGCTAATGTACCAAGAGGCTCTGTATCAGCCAGCTGGATACTGCCTATTGGGAGATAGAGGATCTGCCGCAAGTAGAAAAATCTCTTTTTGTCTCATTAGACACACACACAGGAGACACGTCAAGTTGATACTTCTCAGACTTTGAAATACACCATACATTTTTAATATGAATTTTGATTAACAGCAGAGGCGGACAGTAGTGAAGTATTTATACTTAACTCAAGTAAATTTAAAAAGGATCTGTAGTTTATCAGAGTGTTTTTCTTTGGAAAACTTTACTTCACTACATTCCAAAGCATAATGTCATACTCTTTACTGCACTACATTTCATAAATAAAAGTTGTTGTTTGTTTTACCTTTAATACTTAAGAACATTAAAAATGTAGTACTTTCTTGTACTCAAGTACATCTTTGAATTAATTTTACTTGAGTAAAAGAAAGTAATAGATTTCTAATGTAATTAAGTATTAAATTATATTTAATATGAAACGTAGTGCAGTAAAAAGTACAATATTATGCTTTGGAATGTTGTGAAGTAAAGTTTTCTAAAGAAAAACACTCTGATAAAGTACAGACACTTGAAAAGTACTTTTAAAGCAGAGTAAAAAATACTTCACTACTGTCCGCCTCTGATTAACAGGGTAAGCTGAAGACCGGTTCATTATAGAACACACCACTGGGATGTTGAAAACATTTCTTGAGGGCCCTGGAGAGCAGACTGTGGATTAGCAGTGGATTAGAGACACCTGTTGGGGAACCATGTCTGATTATGACTTGCTGATCAGTAGGGATCTAACGATTCACCCAACTCACGATTCGATTCGATTCACGATTTATTTTTATTTTTTTACAAAATTAGATTTAAGACAAATTATAAATTAAATGTGTCCTTTTATTATTGCTTGGACAAAATGCTGCACATTTCTTTGTCAAATTGAAATATAACACTATAATATACTAATATAGCACTTGCATATTATTTATTTTTTGTTGGTTTTGATTGCTTCTATTGTCCTCATTTGTAAGTCGCTTTGGACAAAAGCGTCTGCTAAATGACAAAAATGAAATATAATGCAAATGTAAATAACAAAACTACATTGAAATTTTAAAACAAGCCCCAAATCAAATGACTTCAGTTTTGTGAAACTATACATAAAAAATATCTGCATGAAACAGCGGACGAACTGAATGAGACGCAGATTCACTCTCTGCCAGCAGGTGGCACTTAAAGCGTTTCCTTGGTTTCCACTGTAAACAAAACAGAGCTGCACTTATGAACTTTAATAATCATTATACAGAGGCAAGAGGAAAAGAAAATAATACCATCTAAACTTTTCTAAAGACAGTAAGTTCCCCTCAGACATGGATTCTTATAAACTCCTGCACCTAAATGAATCGCGATTTGTTTAGCATCTCAGCCGATTTGAATTGTCACATATTTTAATCGATTTTTAACCTGCTCGTGGTTAATCGGTACATCCCTACTGATCAGCTTTCTTCTCCTGATGAACTGCCTACGGTGTCTGGGTGAAAATGACTACATATAGACAGTAAACCTCTCTAGAGTCATGTTCACTAGAAGTTTGACAATGTTTAAAACATCAGATGCTATATTGTAGATAGATGGATAAACTTTGTAATTTTTTTGTGTTTTGTTGTACAAATATACAACACACTGTTGCTTTCAAGACTAAATTGTCTGGCTTCAATTTCAAACAGATCAATGTTTATTTTATTAACATAATTTTCTTGAACAGAGATAGATATCGCTCTGCTCATGCTGTTCTTGCCCTTTCTCTCTCCTCTTGCCATTTCCTGTCTCTCTCTCTTTTCTTCCATATCTAATATATCTAACATAATAATATGTTTTTTCATGTCTGACTGTCCTTGGGCCTCTTCCTACATTGCTGGCTGCTCCTGGCTTCTTCAGAAGGGCCAGAGGCTGGTGTGCTGACCGAGACACCTACAGTCACAGTCAGGTTTGCTGCAATATCCAGGTGTGGACCAATCATTACACTGTACCAGGTGACAGCTGTTACATTATTGGCCTCTACTCCTTTGCATGGGTTCCTAAGTCCTGAAAATCAAATGAAACTTATTGTTTAAGTGTATTCACAACAGAAGCCCTAAGAGGCCATGCATTATTATTACTGTTTTCTTAAGATCTTAACATAAACACCATAATTACATTCTGCAATAATTATAATGCACTAATTATATTCTGTACTGTAGCCTAGAACAACTGTACAAGAAAGCAGTAACTGGTGTCATCAAGATATAAAAACAAATAATAATCCATGCAAGTAATGCACAGTCTAAGGGTGCTCCGATCAGGATTTTTAGGGCTGATCACAGATCATTGATTGCTGGAAGCAGTATCGACTGATTCAATGTATATTATGTGTTAAAATTAAGAGATGAGAAAGTATCATGAATTGACAACTGTTTATTTTTTGGCAGGCAACATGTGCAACATATTCCACCTCATCTCTTAGAGAGACTCTCTAAGAGACACGACTTAAACCATAAAAGCCTATTCTTGGTTGTTGGGAATAATGCACAGATGTAGGCTCGTGCTGCTTGTGCATGAACAGGAAAGTGTTTACTGTCCTGCCAAAAAACAAGCGGATGTCCACTT